TTGGTTACTTTTCGCTTCGTGGCCAGGGTGTGATAAGGTCCTAGGTTTTGGAAGATGACATGGGTAGCTCAATGCCTTCTCACGCTGCTTTTTGTTGAGAAGGCAGCTAACATAACATTTGTACTGTGTGTATGTGCTTTGTCCCAGACTTCATCCTTGTATGGGAATCTGATCATCAGAATTTGGAAGGTCCAAGTGAAGAAGCTGAGACACAGAAATCCAGGCAAAAGAGATCTATGGAGATGCACAGGGTCTGGAGAGAGAAGTTTCTGAATAAACTACAGTTGGCAGGTCTCAAAATGGAAAGGGTAATCCAATTTACTGATGCCAGTACATGGGGCTTTCTTGAGGGTGAAAGAAGTAAGCAGAATTATTGTTTATCTTTTCTTTGTGTCCTGGCCTGGGGATATATCCACACAATGCAATTATAGTAATTGACCCTGTCCTATGGAATCCTGGGATTTGTGATTTAATTACTTAGGTCCAGAACACACTGCAGAAATAACCCAGTTTGAGACCATTTTAACTGCCCTGGCTCAGGGAATCTTGGGAATAGTAGTTTATTGTGTCTCACAAAACTACAGTTCCCAAATTCCCTAGCATTGAGCCAAGGCAGTTAAAGCAGTCTCAAACTGGATTATTTCTTCACTGTGTTTTGGACCTTAGACATCTCTTCCAGAGATCTCTAATGGTGCAGTTCAAGGTAGTAGGCTAGAGACTTTTAAGGACCACAAAACTACAGATCCCAGAATTTTGGAGGATGGAGCCATGACAGGTAAAGTGCTATCAAGGTGCTATAATTATGAAATGGCATTTTAGTATTACAGATTAGTATTACAGGTGCAATTTTCTGTCAGAGAGAAAGAGAAATTTATCATTATCCTCTTAAACTGGTAAATCCCACTGCTCAAAATTGTGGAGGTGGTTAATGATTTATAAGCCTGAATACGAAGGCATAGCACAATGGACAGGACATGTTAACACTACAAATCCAAATCCCAAACCGTGTTTTATAGAGTTATTTTCTTACAATATTTATACCCCATGCATTTTGTGCCTCCAGTGACTTATGAAAAGCACATTTAAACATAAAATAAAACAATAAGCAGCAGCAAAGCAATAAAACATAAAATATAACCAGCAGCAAGAGCAAATGCTTCAGATACAGCCATTCAGAAAGTCCTGAATGACATCTGAAATGAAATAGCTTTTGTCTTTTCACCAGAAAGCTAGCATTTTAGGAAGTGGTGGAGTGTGGTTTCCCAAAGTGTTCATGCCCCTATGAATAAAACCTTGGCAATTCAGAAGCAGGGAAGCAACTGTAGGAGACAACTGTCCCCTTATCCTTTGCCTGACAATTTTTCCCCCAGAAAATCTCCATCCTCTTGCTAAAATCTGTCTGATCTGAAGGGACCATGCAGGGAAAGGGCTTAAGCATTCCCTCTCCTTGCACCCTGAGGGTGCTTCCCATCATTGGACTCCCCAATCAATATGCTTATCATCAAAGGGCTTGTTGCTGCTGCTGCTGCTGCTGCTGTTGTTGTTGTCGTCTTCATCATGTGCCTTCAAGTAATTTTCAACTAATAACAACACTAAGGTGAACCTATCACAGGGCTTTCTGGGGCTGAGAGTGTGTGACTCTCCCAAAGTCACTCCTTGGATTTCCATGACCAAAAAAGGAATCAAACCCTGATCTCTGGAGTCATAGTCCAGCGCTCAAACCACTACACCACACTGTCTCTCAAAGGGTACCAGGAGATAATTCTGTCTTTTCTTCCTTAAGCAACTTTCTCTAGGAAGAAAAAAAAAATGGAAAAAGCAGTGGAGAAACAAGACGGAAATGAAAACTGAAGGTGACAAGTGGTTGGGCTGCCAGTAAGAATCTGAATGAGGCAATGTGATTGCACAATGAAAGTCTGGTTTGGATTCAGTTTTTACATTACACACTTATAACACTATGGTTGCACTTTAACTGTCAGGGTAATATCCTATGGAATCCTGGGCTTTGCAGTATAGGGAGGACTATTTGGGTGACCTTGGGCAAGTCACATACTCTCAGCTTCAGGGGAAGGCAATAGCAAACCTCCTTTGAGCAAATCTTGCCAAGAAAACCCCATGATAGGTTCACCTCATGGTCACCATAGGTTGAAAGTGACTTGAAGGCACACAACAACAACAACAATATTTAGAATTCTCAGCCAGAGAGCTCTAATGCCTCATCAAACTACAAACCCCAGAATTCCACAGGATGGAGCCAGGATGGAATATTGCGATGACAGTCAAAATGGAATCATAGTGCTATAATTCTGTGGTATGAAAGGGCCCATGAGGACACATAGTTGTTTATCAGCGTGAGGCTGACAAGTGCTTTGGCTATGATACTTCTGTTTCTCTGTGTTACAGCATTTCTGGAAGGGCATATACAGAATTGGAATTCCATGCAAATAATTTAACCTGATGTTTTTAATCTCCTTCCTTTCTAGCATGTGGCCCAGAATGCAAAGAGATCGGTACATTTTGTATTGCTAAATGCACCCTGGAGTGTACTCTGTTATTATGCTGAGGATCTCAGGCTGAGAGTTCCTTTGCAGGTGAGGTTATTATGTAGCCTAATGTCATGGGACCACACTTTATTCTCACTATAGGTTGTACTACTACCAGGTCCTGCTCTATACCAGTGGCATCCCTAGGGTTGGTGTCACCCGGTGTGGTCATTCATGAGGAGGGGGCTTATGAGGACGGGACTTCTAGTGTGTGCCTTCCAGCACGCGTGGGAGCGAGCGCGGACAGCTGGAAATGCCCCACGTGCCACCAGGGAGCAGCCACCGTGCCTGGGATGCCTCCAAGCAGGGCCTAGGCTGCCCAAAAAGGCCCTGCGCAAGGTTTGGGCTGGCTGAAAAGACCCCACGTGGGGGCAGGGAGCCAGCCTGGTGTCACGCTCCTTCTGGGGTGCCATCCCCCTCCTGGGATGTCATCAGGTATGGTCCACACACCCCATACACCCCCTGGGATGCTACTGTTCTATACAAATATTGGGAAGGGTGAATTGTTCTACTGGATTGTGTACAGTTAGTGGGAGGAGTGGCGTCTATTATTTCTAACATAATCATAATGCAAATTTCTATACTAGAGAATAAATATTTCTCAAAGTGGTGCAAAATCAATTTTTTTATAAACAAAAACATTTAAAACACACCAAAAAGCAAACATTGAATTTAGCAAATTAAAACAACTATCGGTTAAATTTAAAACATTTAAAACCAGAGGCTGAAATTGCAGTTCTTAAAGTGGGTACTATACTCCGTTTGGAAAGGTTTCCGGTAAAAAGAAAGCTCTTTAACATATGCCAAAACACATGTCATAGTTGGTAAAATACACAAAAGCAAACCCCTGAATAAGCACACTCGCTACCCTGTTGAGGAAATATATTTACTTACACATGGTAAGCAAAAAAGAACAGCCAGAAAAAAAGAAAAAACAAGGACACACTTTGAGACAAACAACAAAAGTAAACTAGCTCTGCATACCAATAGCTAGGAGGATCTGAGGTCACAGGAAGAAAGCACATAGAGTCCAAGAACCTTGCGCCAAGGCAAGTACAAGAGCAAACACACAGCATTAAAACAGAAGTAGATTGTGGTGCAATGGACAAGGTGCAGGGTTTTTTATCTTTTACTGGGCAGCAATATATTATCTAAATACCTGGCTAAAAGGCTGAAAGCCTCATGTGCTCCCTGTCACAGGAATAATTTTCCACAACTATCTCTCAGCCAAAATGGTTTTACTTAAGAACCTTGACTAGACCAAAACACAGGCTCACAGTCCAGGTAATATTCAAGGAGATAGCCATAGAAAAGTAAAGGTAGTTCCTTGACATGAATGTCTAGTCATAACCAACTGTAGAGGGTGGTGATCATCTCCATTACTAAGCCGAAAAGCCAGCATTGTCCGAGGACTGCAATGGTGGTTATGTGGCCAGCATGATTGCACAGAACGCTGTTTACCTTCCCACTGAGAAGTGGTACCTATCTATCTACTTGCATTTGCATGCTTTTGAACTGCTAGGTTGGCAGAAACTGGGACTAGTGATGGGAGCTCACCCCATCATGCGGCACTCAGCCCTCGAACTGCCAACTTTCCGATCTTCAAATCATCAGAACTGGCATCTTAACCACTAAGCCATATCTCTTTTTAATCATTAAAAGACATAAAAGAATCCAGCAGCAACTTTGAGATTAACTGGGAAGAGGCAATTTATGGCACAAGGTTTTGTTTTTGTTTTTGTAATGGACTACTGTAGTCCATGAAAGCTTAGGCTAGACATTTCTTCTTCACAAAGATTCCTTTATGTCTTTTACTGCAGGTAATAATTAGCTTAGCTCATAAAAAGTTTTTATTACAATAAATTAGATTTGATTGCTTCTTTTTTAACCTATGCATTGTTTGGAGAGCTTAGGAAGGTTATTTTTTGGATTGCAACACTCCAAATCCCCCATCCATCCGTATCGGAGATTGTTTAGGACAAACTGTTGTAGCCAAAAAGAGTAAAATTTCCCACGTCTAATTTTTGTTCTTTGTTGCCCACTTGCATGCAGATTGCTGACAATGTTGCCCTCCTGCTTAGCATTATTCATTTGGCTTTATCCCTAGGTTGTCCCCAACCAGGATGTAACTAACTGGTCTCACAGGATTCTGCTGAAACTGGGCATCCCTAATCTGCTTTATGATGAAGTTCCTGACCTTCCTATGGATTATTATACCTGTCATTTTAAGGCAAATAAATTACCCTGGTAAGATTATGGAATTTGTTCTTGTTCCTTGAGCTGCTCTTTTCCCAAATGTCTATTGCTCCCATGACCAAGAGCATCTGTTGCCCTTCCCTTATCTCATTAATCACTTTGAAAGATAAAATGCTACAACTTGCAGCGTCATAACTGGCTCTTTCCTCAGAAAACAGCTGTAACTATTCAAGATGTTAAATAATAATAATAGTAATAATAATAATAATTTTTATTTGTATTCCACCTCTCTGTCAAATAATCGAGGTGGCTCACGGCATTAAAACTCCATACAATCTTAAAATACAATCCAAAATCCACGAACCCTCCCACCCCTTAAAACAGAATTAAACTAATGATAGGATTAAAACATAATACTTAAAAACAGTTTAAATTATATAAAAACCTAACCAGTAGTAATAGACTGAACAGGGATTGCAGGCGAAGTAGGGATAATGGGACTCCTGAGGCCGGGAGATCTAGGAGTTTATCACACGGGGGAAATCCTGTGCAGAAACAGGGTTTTAACTTGGGGAAAAACCGCAAAAGCGGGCAGATTTTCAGACGACGTCGCTGTTAAAATGGGTTAACCTGAACGGAAAGTAGTCAGAAACTGCTTCTTTTTACTTTCGGAAAATCCCAAAAGTAAAAAGAAGCAGTTTCTGACTACTTTCCGTTCGGGTTAACCCCATTTTAACAGCAATATGTGTGAAAATCTATCGGCTTTTGTGGGTTTCCACCACCTTTTAAATCCCATTTCTGCACAGGATTTCCCCCGTGTGATAAACTCCTTAGTCAGGAAAGGCCTGCCGGAAAAGATCCGTCTTCACAGCTGTTTTGAAGCTGTTTAGGTTGGTAATCTGACGGATCTCGTCCAGCAGGCCATTCCACAATCTGGGAGTGGTAGCCGAAAAAGTCCTCTGGGAGGTTGTTGACAGCCTAGTTTTTATTAAACCCCCAGCCTGCCAGTTTTAAAAAGCAAAAAAAAAATCAAAAAAAAATCGCAGAGCTGTCTTATCCTTTGACAGGAAACAGCCGTGTTGCCCATCAAACCCTTTCCCAGATCTTATCAGTATTATACAAAGAAATTTGAGATTTCCATGTTGTGGTGGTAAAACATCCACAAAAAAAGCTGGCTGGGAAATAACCAGAGGAATCCTCAAGAGAAGCAAGAAAGACATCTCGAGATGGTCAAATCATGTTTGCTTTATTAGCAAAAAAGGCCAGTGCATTTCAGCCTTTGCATACTTTTAAGGACTTCTTCAGGGGGCTATTTGAAGTCAAATGTCTGAACTAGAAACTCTCAAACCATTTACTGGACAAGTGAAAACCTTGCCTTAAGAGTACATGCAGACCAAAATGTGTTGGGCTTTTCTACAAACAAAACAACAAATTTCAGTCCATTCCAATTTTATGATTCATTGAGTACCCTGAGATGTGTCTCATTTCTCCAGCAGAAACATCCACGGCTTATCTATTTTCTTCCTACCACAATCCAGGTGAATGGTTTACTATTAGTGCCATGATCTATTGTATTGTACTGCTTAATAACTATAATTAATAGGTGTAGTCCAACACATTTTGCTTACCTAATTAACTCCCATTTACCAGAGGCAGCTAAATTATTTTAGCTCACAAAGCAGAAAATCCTATGAAAACTTTGTCCCCTCATTGACTTTCAAAATACAATAATGACAAAATACACAACTAAAAATCTGTTTTCCTTTCATGACACGCTAAATAGGACTATATTACCTGAACAGCTGCCCCACTGTTTTGAATGACTGAGATATCCCTAAAAACTATGTTGTTAAAACAATAGCTTTGATTCTGACAAAGCAGTTGACTAAATTAGAAGAGCAACATTTGATTTAACTTCCAAACTGAAAATCTACACACAGGTCAATATTCTTCTTTACTTGAATCTGCACTAATAGCTAATTATCGCAGGAGGAAGATTA